TATTAGCAAGTATTAGTGGAGGGGGTAGGAGGATCTTTTTAAAAGCATGTTGTCTTTTGTCCCTCTTTCTAAACTTGAGCTCTTTTCTGTGGGAGGCCAGGATGCCTCAGAGAAACAACTAGTAGACAGGGAAGATGGGGCTAAAGGAAGACCTTGTGGTTAGGACTATCACTTAATGAAACAAGTCCAGATACGCATGAACCAATAATAAAAGGCCTAGTGAAGGAATCTTAAAGTCAATGATGAGAAATCAGTCACAAGTCCAGATTAAAGAAGGACCAGATGCTAGTCAGTTACACAAAATAAGGAACATATTTAAGAGCTAGTTTTATTGACTAGATGAATAGGTATTAGTGGGTAGTTGATAACATAGAAGGCTCAAAACTGAGGGATAGAAAGGGGTATTTTACACTGTAACTCAAGGAGGACAATTTCCTCCTGTCACCTTTTCTGTCAAAACTAGAGAGGTAATCCTGCCTAACTGGTGTAGAAACCAACAGGTTCCCTGTGATTCTTCAGGATCTGTCTTAGGCCGGAAAACCAGTCACACAAGACTAGTTTTCCCTTATTCTTGTTGTGGTGGTTTGATGAAAATGGCCCCACAGGCTCATAAGGAGTGCTATTATTTGGAAATATTAAGACATGTGGCTTTGTTGAAGTAGGTGTGCATCACAGGGTGACCTTTGAGGTTTCAGAAGCTCAAGCCAGGACCAGCCTGCAGATCCTGATGTGGAACTCCGAGCTACTTCTGGATGTCTGCCTGCATGCCACCATGCTTCTCGTTATGAGGATAATGGACAAACCTCTGAACCTATGACCTGCCCCAATTAAATGTTGTCTTATATAAGGGTTGTCATGGTTAGTGTCTCTTCATAGCAATGGAAACTCTAAGACACTTGGCATCTAGCAGGAATCCCCTGCTAACTCTTCCATTCTCTTCATTCAGTACTAGGTCTTTGAACCATCCCTGTTCATCAGTCCTCGGCAGAGAAAAAAAAAGAAAGAGAGAGAGAGAGAGAAAGAAAGAAAGAAAGAAAGAAAGAAAGAAAGAAAGAAAGAAAGAAAGAAAGAAAGAAACAAAGAAACAAAGAAACAAAGAAAGAAAAGGAACAAGGAAGGGAGGGAAGAAGGGAGGGGGAGGGAGGGAGGAAAGAAGGAAGGAAGGAAGGAAGGAAGGAAGGAAGGAAGGAAGGAAGGAAGGAAAGTTACTTTGAATGTGCATGGTACATAAGTGCATGAAAGCAACACAGAGGGGGAAATGAGTGTGTCTGCGTTTTTCGGAGGCTACAAGGATAAAAATAAATAAAAGGAACTTCAATATTAAAACATATGCATGGATCCCAGTACTGTAGGCATAAGGTTACTGTGTAATTCAAATGATGATTTCTGTATCCCCCATATCTCGTTGCAAGCCTTGTTTTGAGAATCTCCTTTCATAATGTTGTATAAACTCTGCTCCCCAATGGTCCTTTGATATGTCAATAAAGCCAATCACTGAGTAGAGGAGAAAATAGAGCTGGACATCCTGCCAGCCAGGAGACAGTTAGGAGAGGAAATACAGGATTGAGCTAGGGAATTCAGCCATGGATTGAGGTGCAGAAGACACCAGGAGAGAGAGAGAGAGCTCAGTAGGAAAGCTGCAAAGTGCCAAGTATCCTGGGGTATACATTGGGAGAAAAAGAGATTAGCTTAGAGAGTTAAGAATAAAGTAGCTGAATGGTGGGGCATCCTTTGGGTATATGCCTAGGAGCGGTATAACTGGATATTGAATTAGTGCTACTCACAATTTCCTGAGAAAGCAGCAGATTGATTTCCAAAGTGGCTGTACAAGTTTGCACTCCCACCCGGAATTTAGGAGGGTTCCCCTTTCTCCACATCTTCTCCAGCAGGTGCTGTCACTTGAGTTCTTGATCTTAGCCATTCTGATTGGTATAAGATGGACTATCAGAGTCCTTTTGATTTGCATTTCCCTTGATGACTAAGGATGTTGAGTATTCTTCTATTTTATTTATTTTTAATATATTTTTTATTTATTACAATTTATTCACTTTGTATCCCAGTTGTAACCCCACCCTCGTCCTCTCCCAATCCCTCCCTGTCTCATCTCCTCCCATGCCCCTTCCCCGGTCCAGGTCCACTGATAGTGGAGGACCTCCTCTAATTCCATCTAACCCTAGCCTATCAGGTCTCACCAGGACTATCTTTCATACTATTCCTCTGTGTTGAGCATTTCTTTAAGTGTTTCTCCAACATAGATATTCCTCTGTTAAGAATTCTCTGCTTACTCTGCACCCCATTTTTTAATTGTATTATTTGGTTTGTTGGTGTCTAATTTCATGAGTTCTTTAAATATTCTGGAGGGTGCTCTGAAAGGCTCCACCCAACAGGGTATCGAAGCAGATGCTGAGACTCACAGCCAAACTTGGGGCAGAGAACAGGTAGTCTTATGGAAGAAGGAGGAACAGAAGGACAAAGAGGGGACAGGAGCCCCACAAAGAGACCAACAAAGCTAAAATCCACAGGGCGTCCTTCAGAGACTGATGTGTCAACCAAGGAGTATGCATGGAGAGGACCTAGACCCCCTCCTCAGATGTAGCCCATAGGCAGCACAGTCTTCATGTGGGTTCCTGAGCAAGGGGAGCAGGGGCTGCTGTGTCATTAATTTGATTACCTGCTCTTTGATCACTTGCCCCTGGTGCTGTGGCCTTCCTAGGCCACAGAGGCCACAGAGGAAGAAAATCCAGGCACTCACAGGGGAGGCTTGATAAGCTATTGGCAGAGAGCAGAGGAGGAGAACTCCTCCTTTCAGTGGACTAGGAGAAGGGGAGAAGGAAAAGATGGGGAGCGGGACACTGGGAAGAACTGATGGAGAGGGCTTCAATCAGGATAGGCAATAAATAAACTGTAAAAAAATAAAAATTAAAAACGAATAAAGTAGTAACTTCTCAGCTCTTGTGTTGTGAACATACTATAAAAAAATATGGTCTCAATTATTTATATGATAGCCAGGTTAAGAGGGAAACTAAGAGAAACCAACACAGTTTTATGAAAATAACTATAATACAGCACTCAAAAGGCAGAGACACCCAGCAAGTGCCCAAACAGCCAGAACTACAGAGTAAGACCTGTCTCAAAAAGCAAAACAAACAAAAATTAAAAATAAAACTTTTATAAGTATTTTACACAAGCTTTGGCAAATTATTATCCTACAAATCCTTAACCTTTTAAAATTGTTTTTAATTATTAAAATTATTTAAAGTCAATTAAATTGATTTTAATTGTTTCAGAGTTTACAGAGAAAAATACTGAAATGTAATTTCTGAAGATCCATGAAGGCTTAGAATAGGGGTTCTATGTTATCTTATCCTTACTAATCAATATAAAATTGCATATAGGAACTTACTTTCTGGACTTTAAACATTTTATTCACAATTGTTCCACAGAGCTGAGTTTTCAGCTTATTAATCTTAGGAGTTTTCACAGGATCTTTATAATGCTACTTGGGACACAGACTTTGAGTATCAACCATAACTGAGGAACTGGTCAGCTCTAAGAAGTTACTGTGCCAAAGACAGTTTGGTATTTTAATTGTTCTCTTTGAGATAAATTTGTCTTTTAAGTTGTGCATTTAAAACTTTTACAAAGAAAAATTAGGTCTCCATGGCACTGTCTCATAGAATATCTCTTGCGTCTCTTCCTGGGCCTCACACTCAAAGGATTCATGGCTTTCAGCACCATGGCTACCAGTGGATCTTTCTGTAAAGCTTTCTTTGATGACTTTCTGTTCTGTCACCATTTGTTTCTTCTGAGGCTGTGACAAGACAGAAAAAAAATGTTATTTATGGGTCAATACTGCTTCATGTGGCCTTTAGTCAGAGTAAAACCACAGAGAGGCAAGGAAGGCTCAACTGAAGGGAAACGGAGACGTTAGGAAGAGATTAGAAACTTGAAATCATCTAGGTTGAAAAGACATAAAAGGAGTATTTTAGAAAAAAAAATAAAACACAAAAGTTCTATATTCATGTGGGACAGTATAATTGACTCTGGAGACAAAATCCCTGAATCAGAATCCTTCTTTGCTATGTAATTTATGAAGAGTGTTTCTAAAACCTGAATCATTGTGATTCTGTCTTCTTGTGATTCTATTACAATATATTTCCCCCCCAATAATGTAGTGAGTACTTACCTGATTCTTGTATGTGAGGAAGATCAGTGATGTGCATGGAGCCCTCCCACATTGCCAGGAATATCCTCATGCATAATAAAAGTATAGATCATTAAATATGAGTAAACATAGATCTTAAAATGAGATTGCCAGACCCTCTGTAAAGTCTGGCATTTCCAGAAAGCCTCTGCCTTCAGTACTAAATGCTGGACTCCCTTCCTCAGCTGGGTTCCCTCCTCTCACTTATCTGGGAAAAACCCCAGCTCCTACAAGGAGTGTCACATAGCCTTCAGGAAGATTACGGGCCCATCACTTTCCCTAATAAGAATCTCATTCAATGTGTACCTGGGGATTCCTGGAAATACCTACCCTGTGCTAAGGAGATATCTTGGTACCTTATCTTTCAGCCAATGACATTTCTCCATACCCCTAAGGAACCTGGAGGATTTCCCCCCATCCCTGTTGTTCCCGTTCTTATGATAGGATTGTGCTACTGCATATAAATGAAGTATCCTAGGTGCTCCTAGTCCCAGCAAATCAAACACATTCACCTCCCAAACCCCTCCCAGTTTCACATGAATTAAAGAGGCAAGCACACCATCTACTTCACAGGAAACTGGTTGTTTATTCTTCTGAGCCTTAACACTGGGGGAAAAAGAACAGCTCCCCTTCTCCCTGAAGAATTCATCTCCAGACACCCCACCACCCACACTGCCATGCCACCCCACACCACCCTTAACTCTCCCCACTCCCACCCTCCACCCTTCCCACCCTCTCCCCTCCCCCAACCCATCCCACCCTCATCCCCCACCCCACCCCACCCCCATCTTCCACCCTACCTACCCCATGCCCGGCCCCTGCAGGGGTCACCAAAGCAGTGGCCCTCTGGGAGTCCTGAGCCCCTGAAGCCATCTATTGTTAAAATAGTTGATCTATTAAACTCATAAAAGTTTTCTTATGGGGAAACCCATCTGTGTCATGTTCCACCATAGCCTTCAGAATTTCTTTTGCGTGACTCCCAAATGGTTTCCGGGAGAGGCAGAACATTTGATTTTGAGCTTCATCTAATGCCTGGAAGTCAACAACACTGGGATCTCCACCAGAGAAGCTCATACTTCCGGCTTGCTGCCCTGGTAGTGTACCAAGGCTTGTGACCTAAAGGGAGAATTAAAAATAAATAAATAAATTATACATTACAGCTTACATAAAAATTACATCTTATTATTTGTAGTCATAAATTATTAAAATCATTTAAATCCTAAAAAAGTATTTTGTCAAATAAAATCTTACAGTATAGGGCTGGTGAAATGGCTCAGGGGTGAAGAACACTGTCTGCTCTTCCAAATATCATGAGTTCAATTACCAGCAACCATGTGGTGGGTCATGACCATCAGATAAAGGATCTGATGCCCTCTTCTGGCATGTAGATGTACATGAAAACAGAGCACTCCTTTATTTAAAAAATACACAAATAAATTAAAGTTTAAAAATATTATAACAACATATAAAAATTAAATGTTTTTTATAGGGATATATAACAAACTATTTTAATCAATTTAAGAAAGGATAAAGTACAATGCATTCCTTATTGGATAAATGCTCAAATAACTAAATACACTAGTGGAATATTGCCACTTTTCTCTACACACTAAGATTATGGCAACTGTATTCTCATCATGTTTTTTGTTCTTCCAAATTAAGAAATTAAGAGCAATGGGAGACAGTGTGTGCACACGTGTGTCTCTGTGTTTGTTAGTACATGTGTATGTTTTAGAAGCAATGCTATTTTTAAAAGCAATTAACAATCCATAACCAAGGGGAGACCCTGAGAAAAAGGGGCACAGAAGACTGTTTTGAACTGCATCTGGGAGACCTTGGAATGGGAACCCATGAATACATTTGATGGGCAGCATCCCACACTCCATTTGGTCCTGAAAGGGTTAGACTAACTTTGTAACCTGTATGTCTTCTAAAGGCTATAGTTTTGAGTTTTAGGTTCAGGTTAAGCTAAAGCCTCTTAGTACCTTTCCAGAGAATGGAGAAATGTGACCCTATCTGTGAGGACAGATAGAAAAAAAGTGAGCAAGCAATGACCTTCACTCAGCAAAAAGAAGGACCAGACCCTTGTCTTCAAGATAGTGTTTCTTAGCAACCAATCCAGACCCAATTCATCTTTTGAGTAGCTCCTGACCTCCAGCCAAGAGCCCGCAGCCCTTATCTTCAAGGATGAGCTAACCACCCCAACTTCAATTGCAGCTGCATCCACACTTGGCAGGACTGGCCAAGCTTGAGCACCTAAGACTAACCAATTATCTTACCTTATAGCTTCCTCGTCCAATCCTAAATTGCCAAAACTGCAACTTCAAATTTCCCACATTTTTTCTTTTAAAAACCTAAAGGCCTTTGTCTCCCGGTGCCACTCTTTGCTGACTGGCAGGGGTGACCCCATTGCGCAATGGTTAATAAACCTCCTGCTTTTGCAACGAGTCGTCATCTGTGGGAGTTTCTGGAAAGGGCATGATCTTGAACTCCTGAGCTATGAGACCCCAAGTCTTACAGTCCAAAGCAGGGAAATATCAAGTTTACTGAGGACAATTACAGAATGTCTTGCCTTCCCTCCCAGGCACTTTATTTAGATTTTCCAGACTATTCAATATGTATTTTTATATCTGTTCACTAAAATGTAACACTTAAACCTGGGTATTGCTTTCTTGACAATTCTAGAAATTTATGAGCCATGCACAGAGGAAGTGGGTGGGTGCTCCTGACAGAATGATATATATACCCTAATCATGCTCCTCTATAAAATTACATGACAGTTTCTTCACAAGAAATGAAACTGCACATGCTTGCTGGATTTGTGGTGGATCCCTGCCTACTGCTCTGTCAGGACTAAGGGATGGACACTCTACCAAGTTTTACTCCCTCTGCTACAAAGAGCCTCTTCACCCCATTAAGAGCAGGCACACTAGTGAGTAAAGGGATTGTCTTTTCCATCCACATTGTGACAGTCCTCAAGGCCATTCTTGGCTCCCAAGTCTCCCACAGGACAGGCTGAACTGTTTGCTGTAATTCCACTGAACCAGAAAGTCTCCCCATTCCTTCACTTCCTAAACCTCTTCACAAGAGCTAATGCCGAGAGCACTCAAAAAGATCCTCACTGAGAACCGTCCCTGTCAGAGTTTCTGCCAAATAGAGGCTAACATAGCAACATGTTAATATGTCCAAGCATGGCAGAAATTAAAAGCTTACTGGGTAGAGAAACTTTTCTTTTTGTACTGTAGGCGTATCTTTCCTGTCATAGCCTTGTTTTCCTGGTTTGTAAGCTCTGAGAAAATGAGAAGAAGGCTTCATGTGCTAGATGACAGGGACAGTGATAAGAGAATATGCTGATAAAGAGGAGTACTGCCTACCTTATCTTGAGGAGAGACTTTTATAGCAGTCTGTTTGTCTGCTGGTGGCAGAGGCAATAGAACAGTTTTTAGCTTGACTTCTTTCTTTTACTTTCTGTGTTCTTTTCTTCTTTGTATTTGCATCTTTTGTCTTTGTATTTGTAACTTTCTTCTTTGTATCTGCAACCTTCTTTGTATTTGTAACCTTCTTCTTTGTATTTGTAACCTTCTTCTTTGTATTTGTAACCTTCTTTGTATTTGTATTTTTCATTTTTGTATTTGTATTTTTCTTTTTTGTATTTGTATTTTTCTTTGTATTTATCATGGGTTTACCTACAACTGAAGAAGAAAGAAGAAAGAGAAATAGGAGGAAAAAGAGGAGGAAGGGAGAAAGAAGAAACAGACACATTAATCTAAGATACATAAGCAAGCATGGCTGAGAATTAGAATATCATTAACTTTCAAGAAGAAAATAGAAAGGAAATAGCAGCCATGTGAGGGATTAGGAGTTTCCCATCTTCAGTCCCTCTCAATACAACACATGACTATTTACAGACAAGGTACATTAGGGAACATCTCAGAATACAACAGAGGTACCTTCTAAAACCATGAGACTGAGAGAAGTTCCTCTAGAGGTTAAGAGGAATGGTTTCAGTTTTAACCATGATATCTCCCTCCCAAGATGACAGTAGTGTATAAAGAGAATCTCAAGGCACTACCCCTTCTATGGTGAGGAGGAAGGGCAGGGAATGAGCATGTGGCTTTCCCAGCATTATGGGATGCATTGTAGAAGGCTCAGTTTCACCTCATCTCATGCAGCATTAGCATTGAGGCATTAGCAAGACTGGAATAACAGTGGTCAATTAGAAATAAACAAAATGAAGTTAGTCTTACTGTGACCAATACATGCAGCTACACAGAGAAACCCTGTCTCAAAAACAAAACAAAAGAACCTGTTAAATGTAGTCAGAAAGGGGGGAAGGGGGGGACTGGGAGGGGAGGAGGGAGGGGCTTATGGGGGGATACAAAATGAATAAAGTGTAATTAATAAAAGTTAAAAAAATGGAAAAAAAAGAAAAAAATAAAAAATAAAACACAATCCTGCATTTTAATAAAAGTTGATAAAAAGTTTTTCAAAAAAAAAATGTAGTTTCTCACAGAATCCAAACCATTCGGGCATGTTCATGGCTTTGGTTCTGTTGGAAATCAAACCATTTAATGAATATAAATATGGCTAACAGTGGTCACATAATAAGTATATTCTGTCACTGTATTTCAAACAACAGAAAGTAGTTGAGTCTTTGTCAGGAATACCATACAGACCTTTGCTCTTGTAGGCATGTCTAACTTGTGGTCTCTGAGTCACATGAGCCCAGGACAGAAAACCATAAACTTACTTAAAAACATTACTAGGTTTCCTTTGCCATATTTTAACTCCACTTTGCTGTTATGGAGTGGGAGCTTTGTAAATGAAGATGGCATGTGACTAATGTCAAAATGACTAGATATGCTTACAGGAAGTTAAACTGATATTCCAGTGGTTAGTTCTGGAAAACTATTTTGTCTTTGTTTGTTTGTTTGATAAGCATGCACATAAAAACATCCAGTATTGTCAGTATCAGAGAAGAAAATGGAGAACTAAGAGATCCCAAGAGAATAAACCTGTCATTCTATCCCACCACATCAATAAGAGCTTTTCAAAAAATGTCATTCGTGGTGTTACTGTGGTAAGATTTAGAAAAGTGTCATCTTCCCACTAGATAATTTTCATTTTCTTCAATCATTTGATGCATACTTTTCATCTGTCTAACCTGTCATTATATTTAAAGAATCTGGTTAGATTTCCTTGGCTATATCATACTTATGTGCTCATCTGTGTTCCTCTCCAGGCCTCAACTAGTGGTCAGAACCCTGCTGTCATTCTTTAATGACACTCTTGGATCTGTTCAGATATCCCTCACATTTCATGAGGCAAGGTCATGAGTAGATATGCTGGACATTTACCAGAATAAACACAGGTTTCTAGGAAACCACCCAGAAATCAATATTCTACCATAACACCCAATTGTGCTTAAGAGCTTCTAAGCTGCAAAGGAACTAAACTGACTTTTAGGTGAGCATGCAGTGCTGCCAGACACTCCTAAATTTTCAACCAGGTCTCTAAGTAGATCATTTTGAGCTAATCAATTTGATAAATTCCCACCATCAGAGGCCCTCTGTGGTGGCTCAGAGGGCCTCTGAAAGTCTCTACCCAGCAGGGTATCAAAGCAGATGCTAAAACTCATAGCCAAACTTTGGACAGAGTACAGGGAATCTTATGAAAGAAGAGAGATAGAAAGACCTGGAGGGGACAGAAGCTCCAGAAGGAGAACAACAGAACCAAAAAAATTGGGCACAGGGATCTTTTCTGAGACTAATACTCCAACTAAGGACCATGCAAGGAGATAACCTAGAACTCCTGTACAGATATAGCCCATGGCAGCTCAGTGTCCAAGTGGTTTCCCTAGTAAGGGGAACAGTGGCTATCTCTGACATGAACTCAGTGGCTGGTTCTTTGATCACCTTCCCCTGAGGGTGGAGCAGCCTTAATAGGCCACAGGGGAGGACAATGAAGCCAGTCCTGATAAGACCTAATAGGCTAGGGTCAGAGGGAAAGGGAGGAGGACCTCTCCTATCAGTGGACTAGAGGAACACGGAAGAAGAAGGAGGGATTGGGAGGAGATGAGGGGGTGGGGCTACAGCTGGGATACAAAATGAATAAATAAATAAATAAAAATTTTAAAAGTCCCATCATCATTAGAATGGTAAAATGAAGAGCAAAAAAATCGGTAAGTGGGTTTTATATCATCCTAACCAGAAAAAAAAAAATCAGGAATAGGAATTAGTTTGGGGAAAAAAACTAAAAGATATTAACAAACTTATTCAGCTGGCTTGCCAGTACCAGAGAAACAAAAGTGGTTACTGGGAGCAATTATGTGTTCTTTCTGCCACCCTGTGGGTAAACGTAAGAACTACACATGCCTTCTCATTTCGGCTACCTTTTGAAAATAAATTGATCAGAATCAGGCCTTGCTCTGAGTGCCTCAAAATTACATAACAACTTCTGTCTGTTTGGAATTTTATCCTTACTTTATCACTTAAACTGGATATAAATAACACTTGAGAAGACAGGTCACCCATGTGGCAGCACATACTTCTCGGAACTTCTTGGAACATATGGAAATATTACATACATAGTGTCCCTAGATTACTGCTTTTGGAATCTCTCGTTTTAGGGATTCCCTTGATAAGGCATTCTTTTGTTGGTTTTTATTAGTCATTTGAACCCAAAGAATGTGCCTATCTTCTTAGGGAGCAATCAGGAACCTAACAAGATGCATATAATTTGGTGGGGGTTAAGTAGTGGTTTATTGACCACAAACATTGCTTTGTGTCCTGGAAATTCATACTGTCAACTATACTGGAGATTTAAAAAAAAAAAAAAAAAAAAAAAAAAAAGAATAGAGACTCCATGGAGGAGAAGCACAAAGGCTTCCTAAAGAAAGACCAATTGGGAGCACGACAGGCTGGCTCCGCCAGAAGTTGATAGTTTGTGGCAAAGTTAAAGGATTCTCTGGTTTGTCTGTTCAAGGCAGTGCTTTCTTAATGTTATAGTCAGGCTGTCAGCAAAGTGTGAAACCTTAAGTACTATGTAATGGTATCTTTAACGTTAACACTGCCACCCCGTTTCCACAGTTTCTGCAAGTAGACTGGAGAGAGAGAATGGCGGAGAGACAGTGGGTGGCAGCCCTGACCACTGGCATGGAGAGATGCCTGAGGAATTTGTAACAGGCTGTTTAGTGACTCTCCGGCATCCAGGCAAAGACACCCTTGATTAAGTAAATTTACTCCCTACTAGCCTCATTCGGGCTTCCATCCTCTATTATATTATTAAAGGAGGGGCACTTCCACATACCTTTTTCCTTTTCATTCTGTAGCAACTTTGCAAGCATCATATATGTCATCTTTCGGAAAATATTAATGGATTTTTCCACTGCAGACTTCGCACCTACACATTTAATCATCAGGTCAGCTAAATCTGTCTTGTCTGCATCCTGCAGTTCGCTCCAGGGTATAGCAAACTCATCTTCAGCAAAGAACTTGAACCGTTTCAGCTCCTCCTTTGTCATGTGGTCCAGGCCGGAAAACAACAGTATTTCCTTATATTTGCTCTCCATCTCACGGCCTCAGGATCAGCCTGGAAAGAAACCTCAGCTGTAAAATGACAGCACTCAACACAAGTCTACATTCAGGATATAGAAGGTGAGTGGTTAACAGAGACTATCCAAGATGACCAGGCAGTAAGCCTGCATTCGGTGAAATCGGGAAAAACAACAAAACAAAATCTATTCAAGTGTCAGAAAAGGACACTTTCAAAGGACATGTGATGACTCAGGAATTCTTAGGGTCTATGTTTCTGTCCTCTCTAAGGCAAATTTGTTAAAGCATATGACATGTGTATACACTAGGCATACAATTTAAAAATTTTGACATATGTATACATGAAATATACCAGTTTATTCACTCATGGGCCACATTTTGGTGTTCTGTCTTGTCAAAAATCAAGTTCATAAGATTCTTCTCCTGTGCTTCTCTCTAGAGATTTTAAATCTAATCTCTTAACCTGTACAACTATGGCCTATTCTGGATTCGCTTATGTATGGTATGAAATTATGCAAAGATCCTTTTGTTCATGTAGCAAGAATTTTCTGCAATCATATGGAGAAGGCCACGTCTTCTTCATTTGCCTCTGCCAAAAACCACTTTCCCATATATGTGTTGGTCTACTTAAGGATTCTTTCCCCTGTTCTTTAATTTGTCTCTCTGTTAATTTGGGATGTGTGTGATATTTTGAATGGGAACACTCAATAAAATGAAAGTGTCATCTGTGTCAATTAACATCCAAACTACATGCAAAACCTCAAGGAAAATTTCTAGGGATCATTCTAAAACCTGCACAGAAAGGTTAGAACAGACATATAGAAAATAAGTTAAAATATTCTCCAAGAAACACTACATTTACTATTTGTAAGCACTTTTACAAAGGTGTAACAAAGAAAATCAGAGCTTAAGTGGAAAAAAGTTGGCATAAAATCAAAGAAATACGGCATGCAAACAATATGTATAAATCTTTAAGAATGATCAGCAGTGAAAAGTGTTCAGATAAATATGAAATGATAATATTTCATCTTTATATCATAATAAATACTCACCTGGATTAAACACCTAAATAGGAACAGTAATACAGTTGAGAAAACCTGTTTTGTTTTTTTTTTGTTTTTTGTTTTTTGTTTTGTTTTTTAACTTTACTTTAAGGAACAGGAAAGTTTCCTAAACAATGTACAAAAAGAACAGGTTAGAGAGGCAGGAATGTATGAGAGTTCATTGAATTCATATTCTAAATTTCTTCATATAAAATACAAACAATGCAAACATCATAAAGGAGAAGGAGAAAGAAAGGTCCAAACTGAGAAGACACCACCTTGAGTGTCCATAATGAATAAATGCCTTGTATTTCAGAATATATGAGAAAACAAGTAAAATTATCAACAGTCCAAGTGAAAAGTGGTCAAAAGCTATGAATAAGCATATGTGATGAAGATATATGGAAATATCTTTGACATTACAGCCATGAGACATTACTAGTAATTAGTTACTTAGGAGAAAACAAGGTGACCAAGAGAGGGTGTTCACAAGAGGCTAAGACCTTGAGGGTCCCCAGTGCCAAAGCCAAAGTCAATGAGCTCTATAGAGTATGGTTAATGAGCCCTTAAACTGTCCTGGTAAAGACAGGTCAGGTTAGGAAGAGATGGGAATGGCTCAGCTTAGACAGGCAGTGCTCATGTGTAAAGCCCAAAATTACCATAAGCATCCTTTCCAACATAGAAAATACACCCAAAACAGTCACAGTCATAAATCTGCAAAAGTGTAACAGTCCTTTTGGTAACAGGGAGGAAGGAAATCTCCTCTGACTTAGCATGTGCTAGTCACCTCAGCATGCTTTCTGCTGTGAAACTTTAATCTTCCTAAACCCTTCTTTGATAAAAACATAATCATATTTAATCACATTTTATATGAAAAATTAGGACACCAATTTCTCTGACACTTGTTTATCTTATTTACAGACAATTTGAATTTTACTACAATTTACAAGTCTACTTAAAAAGTTCTACAGTATAGAGCGCCTGACTACTGTGCAGGAGGCTCTGGGTTCACTCGCCAGGACCACAGGACAGAACCGGGTTAGTTAGAGGGTGATCCTATGCGGAGGGAATGCATTCCTCTCTGATCGGCAGCCCCACGGCCAGCATTAGTCCAGTAGTTGAAGCTGTATTCTGGGAGCACAGTGCTGTGCTGTGCACGATACATACTCAAAGTGTTTACACAGGGGGCCTGGAAAAGGGGAAGAGAAAAACATATGTATATAGGCAGGACTGACTTATCTCTAAATTGGGAGGATTCTTCACACTACAGGAACGTGCCCAGTAAGGCATACCTAGAAAACACCAGCTATGCAGCAATTGTTGGTTAAGTTTGGTTTTCAAGGCAGAATGATTTGCCTGATGTCACGTGGCTTATAAAGCATGACCAGTTGGCCTAACCTCAAGTCTGAATCTAAGCCCTTTGTTCTTCCTCTTGCCAACTGTCTTTGTATTATTCAGAAAATGTGAAATAATACCTTTAAATTAAAACAAACCAAAACAAATCCTAGTGTGATTGGCTGTGATTTGAAAACAACCATCCCTTAAATGCCCATATGTAACTCTCTTGCAATTTTAATGATGATATAATAATTGTCATCTTTTTTTCTTGCCAAAACCATTTTTCTCTCTTTACAGGGGGTCTGCATAGCTGAAACCCACTGTCTATAGATATCTGCTTAACCTTCCCTGTGTTTATTCTATAAAATAGGACCTCGCCTGTTCCTGTCTGTTACACAAACTGTTTCCCTTTCTTCTCTCCTTGTTTACTTAGCAATTCAGTATTTTTTCTTTGTTTATTAGTTCATGTTCTGGGCTGGAACAAATGTGGCTTGTGGGCAAGGAGTCTTGTTGTTCATTTCTGCAGTCTTACCTCCTAAAATAGCATCTGTGAAATAACTGAAAGGACCAGGCCCCCAAAGTCATCAGTCCCAGGAACTAGGCAATGGGTCACCAATCTCAAGAATAAGAAAACCATAAAATTACCAAGGAATATCCTGGAGGTTACCACAAGAACGGGAAGGTATCTTATCTCAGGGTGGGGCATATGTACTGGGCAGCCCACCAACCTAACACTCCTGATGTTAATTAGCCAATCACTTTGTAACATGCTTGCTTGTTGAATATCATCCAATCCTGTAACTGCTAAGCTGGGAATTCCCAGTTCTTGCTCAATTCCCAGATAAAAACGTGCCATGTAACTGCTCGGGGCTCTCCTCTCTGATCCACTGCATCAGTGATGGTGGAGAGACTGAGCTTAAGCCAGAAAAAGCTTTTTGCTTTTGCATACGTGGTCTGGCTCCTGGTGGTCTTTGGGGACCTCAAGATCTTGGCACTACACAAGTATTTAATAAAACATTTGGTGAGTGAGTAGGCTAGGCTTCTCTAAATACAAACACAGCCTTCAGCTTCTCCGCATTCCACGCTGTTTTCAGGGTGCATTTGGTTTGATTAAGAAACCAATAGATTTTAGTGGGTTTTTATTCTATGTTGTATGTTTATATGAGTGAGTATATACCGTGTTTGTCTTTTTGCTTCTGGGACAACTCACTCAGGATGATCCTTTCCAGGTCCCACCATTTACCTGCAAATTTCATGATCTCCTTATTTTTCATTGCTGAGTAATACTCCATTGTATAGATGTACCACAGTTTCTGCATCCATTCTTCAGTTGTGGGGCATCTGGGCTGTTTCCAGCTTCTAGCTATTACAAATAAAGCTGCTACAAACATGGTTGAGCAAATGTCCTTTTTGTGTACTTGAGCCTCTTTTGGATATATGCCTAGGAGTGGTATGGCTGGATCTTGAGGAAGCGCTATTCCTAGTTGTCTGAGAAAGCACCAGATTGATTTACAGAGTGGTTGTACCAGTTTACATTCCCACCAGCAGTGGTGGAGGATTCCTCTTTCTCCACAACCTCTCCAGCATGTGTTGTCACTTGAGTTTTTGATCTTGGAGAATAAACCCACTAAAATCTGTACATCTAAACAAACTAAGCAAAAGAGAGGACCCTAACTAAAATGTTCAATCCCCATCCTGAAAGGCAAAGAGGATGGACATCAGAAGAAAAAGAAAACAGGAAACAACCTAGGAACCTGCTACAGAGGGCCTCTGAAGGCCAGAAGAAGAAAACAGGAAACAACCTCGGAACCTGCCACAGAGGGCATCTGAAAGCCTCTGCCGTGCAGACAGTCAAAGCAGATGCTGAGCCCGATGGCCAACTGTCGGGCAGAGTGAATGGAATTTTATGTAAGAAGTGGGAAATAGTAAGAGCTGGAGGGGATGGGAACTCCACAAGGAGAGCAACAGAACAAGAAAATTTGAACACAGGGAACTTCCCAGAGACTCATACTCCAGCCAAGGACTATTCATGGAGATAACCTAGAACCCTGACAATGCAGCCACTTCTGATGAGAACTGATAGACTAAGATCAGAAAGCAGGAGAGGAGGACTTCCCCTATCAGTGGACTTGGGGAGGGGCATGCATGCAGAAAGGGGGGGAGGGGGTACTGGGAGGGGAGGAAGGAGGGGCTTATGGGGGGATACAAAATGAATAAAGTGTAATTAATAAAAGTTAAATAAAAATTTTAAAAAAATATGAAAAAAAAAACCAACAGAACAAGATGGCAGCTAAATAAGGACCCTTAGCTACCATCTTCTCACATCAGCTATTTATACCCCAAACTACCCTCCTGATACCTAAAGAAGCTGACTCAAATTTCGACTGATAATAAGAAAAGATACATTGAAGAGATGGGAATGAAAGATTTGTTCATACTGACACGTGAGAGGAAGAAGGAATTAAGCCCAGGCATTACATTTTAATTCAGTACCAGTTTATCATAGTGAAGTGCCAGTACCTGGAAGAATTCTATAACCTATTCGCAAGGCTAAAGCAAGCAACTGGAACTGTGTAAGCCGGACTGCTGACTTCCGGATTCCACCCACAGGCAACAGGGCCCAAAAATTAGCCCAGAACTGTATTTATGGTAATGG